CTTGGTAGAAACAAAAAGAAATAAAACACAAAGAAAGTTTGTTTACTTTTCTCTTTTGTAAGAACAAAACACAATTCTTAAAAATTTAAACACAACTTTTTTAATATAGAAATAAAAGAATTTTAATTTGGATCCTTCCACATCCCTTATACCCTAACCCAGAAGGGCAAATTAAGAAATGTTTTGAAATCACAGCACAGTAAAGTAGAACTTAATTAACTCTGAAGGAGAAAAGTAGCAGCTAAAGAAAGATGTATTCTTTGAGTAAAAAGGCAAGTTATGAGGGCAAAGTTCATATGAGGAAAGGCATTGAACAGATGAAGAACATGAGAAACTGAGCAGAGAGTAATGGACAAGGCTGAACAGGGAAGCTGCTGAAAAGTTAACACACTTTCTGCTACACTTCTGGCTTTCCAAACAGAGCAATCATATTACAATACATATTTTTAGTTTTAAGTCATTTAGGGCAGTATACTCTACAGTTCAGAAGTGGTCTGATTTTTAGGAGAATACTACATCAGCTCTCATAACTGCAATAGGGTTTATAAGCAGTCTGAAATTCAGCCCACCACAAATATCCAAGGTATAGAGAGGTGACACCTGCTAAACTCTCTTTTTTTTTCCTAACTGTCACCAGTGTAACCAATATATTAATAGAATATATCCTGCCCATAACAAGGCAGGATATATTCTACTAAGCACAGAACTACTAAGCAGTACTTTGGAAACCTTGCTGTTAACGTATGGATACCAGAACACTGTATAGGATTTCTCCCACAAAAACTGTTCATGATGACACACAATCATTGGAACATTACATGCAACCATATAACCTAGGAGCTAATTAAATGACTATTAGTTTAAATGTTTTGCTGAAATACAAACATTTTATGTCCAGGATGCAAAATCCAAATAATAAAAATCCTACTATTTTCATCAACTTCTAAAAATAACACATCTCTTCTTGCATTATTTTGGGCATGCTGGGAATGAGATAAAAGATATCAAATATTTTCAATTACATTCAAAATAGTAAACATTCAGATTTCCCTTCTAATTTGAAAATTTCAAAGAAAGTTCAGGTCCTCCAAACCAAAGTTCAGAAACTCAGAATTAAGTTCCTGACATCGAATTCCCTACCATTTGTTACATGAGAACTTATCTGAATACTCAACAAGAAATAAATTCCATTAGTCTTTTTAAATCAACTTGTATAAAATTATTGCACTGTGAGTTGTCTGGACTTTGTTCTACTTTAAGTTTGGAAATACTTTACATCTGTTTCTGGTATTTTATTGCTTTGAACCTACAACTCAGAACTCAAGCAAATAGCATGTATTATAGAAAATTGAGTGAAGTGATTAAGACACTGAAAATATAATTTAGAATATGATTTTTTATCAGATTCAGCAGAATCTTAAAGGAAGAACAGCGTTCCCTAAGAACTGAGAGAAGTTCATCCTTTCTGGGAACTCTGAAAATAAAAATAACCAGACCTAAACTGTTATTTGTTAACATATTGTACTATGTACAAGAGAGAAATTCTAACCATGACAATATAACTGTGAGTTTGCAAGGGAGTAAGCATAGGGAGACATCGTTGTCCTTCTCTGCCTCTCTCTCTCTCTTCCTATTCTCTCTCTCCTCTAAGATCTAAAGGAAATGGAATCCCATCCTTTGTGAGGCTAAAGAGAGAAGGGTTTCTGTATGCTGGTACTACCGCAACACAGATAAATTGTTTCATTTTCCATAATATATACTCCCACACTAACTAAATCATAACATCAGCACGTTGACACTACAAGGCATTCTTCACCCCTCCCAGCACTTCCATATTTGACCTTTCTGAAGACATTATTTCCTTTTTTTCTGTTTGTTTATTTGTGGATTTTTTCTTTGGTTTTTTTTTTTTTTTTGGTTGATTGGTTTGGTTAGGTCAAAGTGGTTTCTTTGGAGGGGGTGGGGCAAGCATGTGGTGAATAAAATAATTCTGAAAAAGCTTTATAATAAACCTAGTCTATAATTTGTATTTGCATACCTCTTCCATCTGCTTCCAAATACTCTCACATTCATCCAAGAGTTCTTCCTTGCCATCTACAGGACCAGCTGTATTACTGATTTCTGGTAAACAATCAGCCTATTAACAAGCAAAGAGAACAGTTATCATGTAGAGCTACAGTAACTGATTACTTAATCATACCTGCCATTTCAGAACAACTATGTAATAGAATAAACTCCCTTGATCTATGTAATAGAATAAACTCCCTTACCTAACTCCTCTACAGTTTTAGAAAGCACTCAGCCATTAAGTAAAATCAGCTAACTAAATAAGTAAAATTAGAATATACTAATAATTTACTTTTAAAATTGAATTACAAAGTCCTAAATTTTCGTAACTGCTTTGATTATTTGCAATGGCTTCTTTATTTTCCAACAATTTTATTACAGAAACAATAAGAGAATCTCACATCTCCGAAGCCATACTCTACCTCCATTTATCTGCAATATTTATTATAGATAACATTATATATATATATATATATATATATATATACACACACATACATAAATGTATATAATATTTATTTTTAGGCAGTTACTTCTGCTCTGTCAATAAACATGGTAATCTATTTCTCTTTCATTTGAGTTCAGAATATTATTAACAAATTAAGCACCCTCAAAGTTACTAGAAAAACAAACAGAAGAACCTGAAAGACATAGAGACAAGCAAGAAAAGAGGGCACCTGGACAGCCAAAATAAAAAGCAATCCAAGTTAAATGAAAAACCTTGAGAAACTGTTGGGTCAGAAAGAAACAGCTGGAATTAAATTTATGAATTTGTATGTTTCTCACTTAAGAGATACCTGAATGACCGCAGCAAGTAACAGCGGAAAAATAAGAAGGACTAAATTTTTTTTTCCCCAAGGAAAACAACCAACAGGTTAGATGTACCAGATGCAGGAAGCCTTTAAAAATACCTTAGTGGGTCACTAGGCCCACCAAACACATAGAGATTAAACAGAAACAGTAAAACTAGAGAATGACCTAGAGAAGAGTTACACTTTTCTACCTTCTTAATGAAGCATAAATTACTAACTCAATCTTTTGTTCTTTTTCAGAACAAAAACACAGCATCACAGAAAACGATGTCGGAACTCCTACTTAAAAGGAGTGAAATACTCTACTAGTACTTGCAAAGTTCAAGCAGCTCATAGCAAAGTGAATGAGGAAAGAAAACCAGAACATCTCACTGAATGCTGGAATTACACTAGAGATCTCATACTCCTACTAGTCTTCCTGGCAACTTTGTTGCATTTAAAACAGAACACTACAAAATCTAGGTTACCGTGATCTTATAAGAACTAATCTGCGTAGATTTTGGAAAGGAAGATCATTATGTTCTTAACAGTCTTGGAATGTCTCCATAATATAAAACAGAACCAGTTCCCATAATTTATTAAGACTTCTGAAACGCCTCCAGCAAAGACTGCCCAAAAGGAAGAAACTAAGAAAGAAACTAAGCAGTCTTAGTTTTTTCTCAAACAAAAAAGGAGACAAAGAGGGTCTGGGGGGATAGTGGGGAGAGAGAAGAATAAAAGAAAGGGGAGAAAAAGAATCCCATGCTTTGGAAATTTGAAAGGGGTCTTGGGGTGGGATAAAAACCTATTCCACCCATATCCTCTGCAATACTATAATTCATCACCATGAAAGCATTATATGGAATAATAATGCTGTCTCTTCCCTAAGAGAAAGCCAGAAAATCTCCATCACACAAAAATGATTAAATTATTCTGTTGTTAACTTTAAATTGCCAGGTCAATTTCACACAACATTTCAAAATGTACATATTGTGAGATGTGACAGAGCTCTCACAAGCGAAACTGACTTGCCATCCTTCATGCTGTGCTTTTAACTACCTTACACTGTACACACACTGAAATGTCATTTTTGGACGTTATTTTCTTGTAGCTTGCAGTTTTCCCTCTTTATGTTAAAAAATGTGTGGTTAAATTACATTTCTATTTCCACACCATACCTGAAAACTCAAGGCTTTTTCGGCATTAATAATAGTCTTCTAGCTTCAACAAGTTATTCCTTCTTACCTTGTTTTAGGACTATATAACTAGGTAAGAAATACACACATGTCCAAGTGTAGGCTCTATGCTAGCCAAGGCTTTACGAAAAAAATCACAGAAGGGGTCAGGTTGGAAGGAACCACAGGGGGTCATCTGGTCCAACCTCCCTTTTTATGCAGAGTCACGCCAGAGCACACGGCACAGTATTGTGTCCAGATGCTGCTTGAACACCTCTAGTGAGGGAGACTCCCCAGCTTCTCTGGGCAATCTGTTCCAGTCGGTCACCTGCACAGTAAAGTTTTTCCTTATGTTCAGGTGGAACTTCCTGGGAATCAGTTTCTGCCCACTGCCTCTCGTGCTGTTGCTGGGCACCACCGAGCAGAGCCCGAATCCATTCTCCGGGCACTGTCCCTCACAGACGCTAAGAGGGCGGAACGCGTCATGTGCCCAAGCACACAACGGCCAACGGCGGGAACGCGGGGAGCGAGGGCAGAGGGAAGCGACAAAAGGTTTGTGAAAGAGACACGAAGGCACCTTAGGAAGCAAAATATCGGCAGGGTATAAACAACATGCAAAGGCAGTGAGACAGGGACCCCCGCGGCCCCGACGCCAACCCCTGCAGCACAACGGCGGGAGGACGCGAGGCGGGACATCCCCGCTCACAGCCGAGGGACGAACGTCGCCCCTTCCCAGCCGGAAAGCCAGCGCCCTCCCGGCAAAGCAGCCCCGCGGCCCCAGCGGCCAAGAACGCCTCCCGGCCCCGAGGTATCGGAGCGCCGGGAGCCCCCGAGACTCGCCCGCCGCCCCTCCCGCCCGTTACTACCATGGCCGCTTCCCTGGCCGCTTCCCGCCGTCCGTTTCGTGGCGCATACGTCACTCGCAGAGCGCCCGGCGCGGATCAGTGACGTCACACCATGGCGTCCGTCGAGCTGGATCGCAAGCGAAAGCTGCCGGAGGTGGTGATGGAGGCGGGCGGCAGGGATGCGGCGGCGGCAGCAGCAGCAGCAGCAGCAGCAGCAGCGGACGACGAGGATGAGGAGGAGCGCTGGGTCGGGCCGCTCCCGGGGGAGGCCGCGCAGGCGAAGAAAAGGAGAGGTAAGGGGACGAGTGAAGCTCTGCCCCGACTGGGGTCGGGGTGCTGGGGTCGCCTCCGGGCCCCGCCGGGCGGGAGCGGCCACGGCCACGTGGTGAGGGCAACTGTCGGGAGCGCGATTCCTGAAACTGTGTCTCGTATGGCAAATGAGCGCGCTGGGGGGAATCTCCAGGTGCGGAATTACACAGCGGACGTGCCTGGTGTTGAGAAAGTTGTGGCCGTTCAGGCTGCAGAAGAGAAGATTACGTGTAGACCTCATAGCAACCTTCCAGTACCCAGGGAGACTTAGAAGGAAGCTGGAGGCAGACGCTTTGTTAGGAACAGCAGTGATAGCACCAAGACTAATTGGTGCAAACTGAAAAAAGGGAAAATTCAGGTTAGCTATAAGGAAAAAAGTCTACTGTGAGGTACTGGCACAGGTTGCCCAGTGATTTTTTGGATGGTCCAGCCGTGGCAGAGTTCAAAGCTAGGTTGTATAAGGCTTGGAGCAACTTGGTCCAGTAGGAGGGGACTTGGGACTGGGTGGTATTTAAGGCTTATTCTAGCCCCTTAACATTCTGTGATTCTAAGACTTTTGTTTCTTCTGGAGAACACTTTAAGAGCCCTGCTGCTGCACAGGCTGAAGCTGTGCTGGTTATTGATGTAGGGTTAATCCGGCTTTTAGATCACTGCCCTAAGCTGGAGCAGCAGGAGCAGCCTCTAGGCTGTGTTTTGCCATGTGGTATTGATGTGTGTAGCAACTTCCAGCTCTCTGGGTGTCACTTTAAGTTTTCTCTAAGTAAGGAAAACAATGTTCATCAGATATAAACATGCAAGTTCAGTAAAAAATACCGTTGCACAGGTGTTAACAAGTAGGATCTAAAAATCAGAAGCAAAGCTCAAAATCAGATTATTTTAGGTCAGCCAGTTAAGCAATGAAATAGGTGGATACCAGAACTTAAAATTTAGACTGCAGGACCTGTGTGGGACCACAAGTCTCATAAAAATAACAGGGGTACATGTGTTTTTAGAATGAAATGAGGTTCAAATGACCTTCTGTTTTCTGGCAGTAACTTAAAAACTGTTGATTGACTTTGGTTTTTTTGAAACAATAAGACAGTTACTGTAACAGTTGCTTTAAGAGGGAGGAGGAATATGAGTTAAAGCAGCATTTGAGTGGCTTTAGTCCACAGAAAATCTGTAAGTCTGAGTGCAAAGCCAGAGCTAAAGGCCCTTTAATTATGTTTGCACAAAATCCTGCATGTTTTTTACTAAGTATGAGTAAGCAATAAAAGGATAAGTGAAAGAAAACAAAATGTAGATATGACTTCATGAAGAACAAATCCTGAATTTTCTTCCTATTCCGTGTAGTTCTTGAATTCGAACACGTTTATCTTGAAAATCTACCATCGGCTTCAATGTATGAACGCAGTTACATGCACAGAGATGTTATTACACACGTAGCATGTACAAAGTAAGTGTTTTTCTTTTCCATTGCATTTCTTTGTCTGGGGTGTATTTTTGTGTAGGCTAAGAAATTTTCACTGTACATGTTTTATAATGGAAAGTTACAGTGTCCTGAGGTGGTTTTTAAAGGGTGGTGGGTTTTTTAGAAAAATAAGTGGCTTACCTAGAAGCAAGATGTAAGTTGTTTTTATAGGATAAAGGAGGGTCTTAAAATCCTTGTTAAAATATGCAGGAAATACAGGAGTAAGAATAAATTACTCCCTATGAAAAAATACCATTCACTAGAATTGCAGAGATCACACACACAGAGTAACTACCATGACCATGAAACCAGACATAAAATAGGACTTACATTTACATATTCAAAAAGGATAGTGTTACATTTTTCTTCAGTTTTACTTTTTCATAGATTAATCCAGAATGCACTAAAATACCTGTTTTGTTTTTCTAGGAGGTATAGTACCTGTTCAGACAGACTGTCACAGTAATTTCTTGAGATTTCATTCTCTGCACAGTGTTAATTCTAGTGCAAATTACTCACCAGCGGGAAGGTGCAAAATGTGTGCTTCTGTTTTCTTGACTTTATTTTTCTTTTCTAATTGTAGGACAGATTTTATCATAACAGCTAGTCATGACGGACATGTAAAATTCTGGAAGAAAATAGAAGAAGGGATTGAGTTTGTTAAACACTTCCGAAGTCACTTGGGTGAGAAGTTGTTCTTTCTTATCTAAAGGATTTTACTTTTTTCTCTCCCTTGGTCTTTGTTATTTGAAGAGAGAGTGCAAATAGAGAGAGAGATTCTGGGGTTCCTTTAGTGCAGTCAGAGACTAAATTATGTCCACCAATCTTCCTTTTACTCTTCTGTCCTGTTACATTTTGCTCCCAAGCTGTAGACAGGATAGGATAAAAATGAAACATGAAAATGAAAACTGAAGCCTTTGCGTTGCCTTGTGCCTGATTGTGGGGAGAATACCTGGGATGTAAGGGAACAAGATACACAAAAGTGTTCATAAAATCCAGAGAAGTTTAAAAATATGTTACTTTAAATAAGGATACCTCAGTCTTTTGTTTTTTCTCCTTGCAGTGTGGAAAAAAGCAGTTATTTTCATCTGGAATACTGTAACTGTAGAGTAAATTCTGCCTAATTGTTGTAATTATCAGACAAATTGCAATTAAGAGAAACTTTAACCAAATTTTCTAAGCTAATAAGCACACAAAGGTTTTCAACACTATGCTAAGCATTACATAGGCTAGACAGAAAATTATATCCTCAACAGTATTAGAGATGATATGCTTGAAGGAAAAAAATCCGGTTTGATATGCAGAATGTTAGAGTAAGAAAAATATTTTAAAATAGGTAGTAAAAGCATGATTTCCTTTTAGAGTTACAAGAAATACTAAAGTCTGGTTTTGATCTCAACTATCAGCTTCTTATTATATATAGAAGCAAAAAGTGTCAACAAAACCTACCATGTGAAAATCAGCATTGTGAGAACTTTGTGGAAGGCTCAGTTGCAGAGGAGTTTTGAGTATCCTGGGTGTAATAGTCTGTAAAGTTCTGCTGCTTTTACCCTGTTGAGAGATGCAAGCTGAGGAGCACATAATGTGTACCCCATCATAATGTTCTCAATTTTCTAAAATCAATATTTTAAACTAAACTTACTGCCATAATAATATTTTACTATGTTTTTTGTAAATTGTTCATTTTCACATACCTGAGTCTAAATGCTGATAGGCCATAAAGTGTTGTTTTGTGAATTTTATTTTTTTAAATATTATTTTATTGAATTCAGGTAGAGTTTTAAATGGAAAAGGTGACAAAACAGTTGGGAAACAGGTTTAAGCCTCTGTAGGTTTTCCATATATAATACTGAAATGAAGGATGTCCTTTCCCATTTCTTAATAGTATCTTAAATTAATTCACAGGTGTTATTGAGAGTATTGCTGTTAGTTCAGAGGGGGCATTATTCTGTTCTGTTGGAGATGACAAAGCAATGAAGGTGTTTGATGTAGTCAACTTTGACATGATCAACATGCTGAAACTTGGGTAAGTTGCTTAGTTCTCAGAAGTGTTTGTTTGAGATTGTCGGTGGGGGTTGTTTTGCTGAGCGATAAGTCAATAATTTGGGTTCATGAGTTCTTCCCCTTCCCCCATGCCCAGTCATATGAAGTTGAGTAAACTTCATTGTCTGAAATCAATCAAATGGCTAGAGACTGCCTGACTGAATAGAAAAAAATACTACTGCAACACTAGAAGAGAGGAGTAGAAAAGGAGCTTCCTCGGTGTTACATATTACACACAAAGATAGGGGTTTCTTCAAATATTTAGCTAGGCATAATTTCTTTCTGTTGTTTGGCACTGAGTTTGAAGATTACAGTCTGTTAGTAGTTCCATTAGGGAACAGATTTGGCCTGCCTGTATTGTCACATTTGTTGTCATAGAGATGCAATTTTCTTTTTCTGCTAGAAGCAATATTGTTGTTTTCTTTAGACTTTGTGGTTACACAATAGATACCTAAAGGATCTGGGAGAAACCAGAATGGATGTTAGTGGAATTATAACAATACCAGAGAATAATAACCACACTGTTAAAAGGGTGGATTTGAAGTGCTGGAGGATCAATAAATGTTGCATCAAGAACAGTAGAAATGCTGATTTCTTCACAAACCTTTTAGAATTGGAAAACATAGTCTTCGTAGTCTATGATGTATTGGTTAATTTTGAAATTGAATAGAAGTATAAAGTCAGGGGAAAAAAGCTTTTACAAAGAACATGTAATAAAAGCATATGCCATCTGCTTTGTTTGTTGCAGTTTTAGTGTCATCCTCCAGATAACGTACTTCACCTATAGGAATTGATTCTCTCTTGGTTGTCTCTTCCGGCAAAATTCCAGTTAGGCTTAAGCTTTTTGGTTTTGCTGTTATTTTTGACATAGCCCTGTACTGTTACTACATAATTGGTAAAATTATAGAAAAAAGAAAATTATATTTAAAAAAGCACCCCTGATCTTCAGAGCTTTCCAGTTCTAACTAATCTGTAGACCATGGCTCTCTGCAAATCTCCATGCTTTATGCTTCCATCTGTGATCTGGAAAACGTTGGCTGTTTCTGAAGAGACTTCATGTTTATTTATTTGATCCTGTTCTTCCTAATGAATTTGAGACTAAGTATTCGTTTCTCTTTACAGACAGAAATTGAAAATTCAAATTATTGGTGTCTGTCATGATGTCAGAATATCATCAGTCCCTCAGCATCTGTTAGTTCAGTTTGTGAAAGGATACTAAACCTGTGTTTCCTCTGGAGATTGTATAATTTTTTTTTGTATTTGCAATTTAATTTGAGTTCTAGTTTTCAGAATCTTTGTTTACAGACTTTAAAACAGACATAACTTATATTATTGACTATATCTCTGACTTGTCTTATTTGTAGATCACAATTTTGCAAGTAGCAAATGAGTTCCTTCTTAAATGCACTCACAACCCTTATTGAATATAGGGTTGTGAGTGCATTTAATTTTGTTTGTATCTCTTTTTGGAGATTTCATGGTTTTGTGGTTTTTTTTCTGGCAAGATCTAGTTGAACTTCTGCAGAAGTGTATGGCAGAAGTGCAGTTGTCTTCATTTCTACTGAGTCATTATTCACTTAAAAGATGGAGAAATGGCATTATATAAGTTGAGTGCTATTTATTAATGCCACTTGGACTTTTAATCTGGATTTTTGTCCAAATTCATCCTTTTTACCTGCTTTCTACTTTGACTATCACAGCATCTTTACAAAACAATATGGAAGAAATTGGTAGTCTTCCACTGAATGGTATTTCTTGGTAAAACTTGTTTATTATATGCTCAATATTAGCAAGATATGTATTAGCAAAACTAGTAAATAAAATTTAAAATTTGCTTCTGGTGTTTGATTTCAAGTTTACAGCATAATTTGACTCTCACCTAATTAAATCCATTCCTAGTTAATTTGTAATTTTTTCTTTCCTTTCTACTCTTTGTTGCAGCTACCACCCTGGCCAGTGTGAATGGGTATATTGCCCTGGAGATGCTATATCTTCTGTTGCAACATCTGAGAAAAGCACAGGAAAAATATTCATATATGATGGACGAGGAAATAACCAGCCCCTTCATGTTTTTGATAAACTCCACATGTCCCCACTTACTCAGATACGCCTGAACCCTGTCTACAAAGTAGTAGTGTCTTCTGACAAGTCTGGAATGATCGAGTACTGGACCGGTACTCCTCATGAATATAAATTTCCCAAGAATGTGAATTGGGAGTATAAAACGGATACCGATCTATATGAATTTGCTAAATGCAAGGCTTACCCATCCAGTATAAGTTTTTCACCTGATGGAAAGAAAATGGCCACTCTTGGGTCTGACAGAAAAGTTAGAATTTTTCGTTTTCTGACGGGAAAGCTCATGAGAGTCTTTGATGAATCTCTGAGTGTGAGTTTTGTCCTGTTACTCCTTCTTGAAATGTTTTCTCTACTTACTTGAATTTGTTTGCCAGCACATTCACCTAAGCTATAGTTTATTTCTAAGGCAAGCTTCCAAGCTTGCCTTTTTCTTGCAAAAAAGGTCTTCTGTGTTCTCTTGCTTGTCTCTTAGATTGCTTTGCCCCAGAATGAATTCTTACTGCTTTATGTTGCTACATAGTGAAACAGAGTTGTGGATTTTAATTTCTCTTTTTATGCTGCTAGATTACATTTAACTAGAAAACAATTGTGGAAGATGGTGGAAAATGCCCATTGCAAGTAACATCATGATAATAAATTAAATTTTTCATCTTCTAAGGAATTTGATAGACAGCTGCACACTTTCACGTGCTTAAGCCTAGTCCTACAACATGCCTGTTCTATCATTAAAATAACAAGAATATTACTTGTATTTACGTAAATCCTTCAGTTAAGTTTGAATGGAGTAATCTCACTTGAATTCAGTATTTTCTAATCATGTGAATCAGTGTTTTACTGGATAAAAAGTTTAAAATATGTTAATATAGGAGTGCTGGGGTTTTTTTTTTGTAGATGTTTACTGAGCTTCAGCAGATGAGACAACAACTGCCTGACATGGAGTTTGGCCGGCGTATGGCAGTTGAGCGTGAGCTGGAGAAAGTGGATGCAGTAAGATTAATTAATATAATTTTTGATGAAACTGGACACTTCGTTCTCTATGGAACTATGTTGGGCATTAAGGTCATAAATGTAGAGACTAACAGGTAAGTTCCAGTGACACACATAGAGATAAATTTCTGTTTTAAATTCTTTATTCAGTCAAATTTAGAACACATTTAAAACTTGATATGTTCTTCATATGAGTGCAGAGGTGTCTAATCTTTTTGTGTTGTTATTTGAGAGCCTTACATTACACTGTAAGGCTCCCATTCTTTGTAAGGAGTCATTGGAGATTAGAGCTTAGGCAAATAGCAAGCACGTGTGTATTAGAAATGTGTAGTTAATCAATTAATCTCTGTCTAACTGGATGGGATAATTTAAATGTAAAGTAAAGGTGGATCATTTAGTTGGAATTTTTATTGCATATGGAGGCTGACTGGTAAATTAAGGTACCAATTTTAAACAGAGAAACATCATAAAAATGATTAGTGAATAATGATTTTGAGAGGATTTTGAAATTTTGCTCTGAATCTAACAGTCAGAAAGAGGACATTTTCTGACTGTGAGCAGCTGAACTTTACACCTCTTTCTATCTTGTATTTCAGGTGTATTCGTATCTTGGGAAAACAAGAGAACATCAGAATGATGCAACTGGCGTTGTTCCAAGGAGTAGCAAAGAAACATCGTGCAGCGATCACTATTGAGATGAAGGCATCTGAAAATCCTGTTCTCCAGAATATTCAGGCAGATCCAACAGTAATCTGCACCGCTTTTAAAAAAAACAGATTTTACATGGTGCGTGGGGTTTCTGTTTAAATAGCTCCATTCTTGTATTGATTTCTCTGCATTATGTTTTTTTTGTTTTCTCTTTGCACGTTTCTAGTGCTTTTTGTAGTTGCAAATGCAGCTTATACAAAGGAGTCTCTTTATATTGCAAGTATATTTGGAATTTTTATCTTGGACTATCTGTACATTAACTAGAAACAGCTGTGATTTTTTCATAAATTTTTATTCCCCCAAGAAGATGATATCCTTCTGTTCTTGTTGAAAAAACTCTAAGTAAGAACACTTAAAAAACTAACCAGATTTTATAAAGAAACAATACGCAACTATGTGCATAAAAAAATAGAGTAGAAAAACATTTCAGGACTTGGTAACACTAAGGACATTACAAGCAATGGAAAAAGGAGTCATCTTGATGTTCGCAGTTGGGTTTTTAGGTGAGATGGAACCAAACAGACAAGCAATTTTAGAGTGGTTAGTAGCTGACTTGAGAGGTCATAGCCATAGAGATTAGAGATTGGACTGTCTGTTATGCCTTAAATTTGCTGGGTTTCTATAGTTTTATATTAATGCTGTATTGGAATAAGAGGATTTATTTTAACTTTGTAGCACAACTGCAAAGCACAACTACAGCTTTTGGCATAAAACCTGCCAATTTCGTTTGAGTATAGCAGAACAGCCTGGTATTCTCCACCTCATTTTAAAGAAAAGATGCTGAACTAGAGAAGACTCCTGTTGTAAAGGGGAAAGTTTAAAGATAACCGATTATTAAAGATATTTGTATTTACATGTAGTTTTACTGGAATTTGTTACTGTGGAAATGCTGGTAACACAACATGACAGTCCAAGGATAGACTGTCTGTGAATTGTCTTTGTACATTTTAAATTGAATTGCGTGTTCAGCAGGTTGAATAATAATAATGGCATTGGGTGCAGAGCACTTTGTATTTTAAGAGGAAAAAAGAAAAAAACCAGTTAACCTTCTGTTCTTTTGTGCTTCAGTTTACTAAACGTGAACCAGAAGACACGAAGAGTGCAGATTCTGACAGAGATGTGTTTAATGAGAAACCTTCTAAAGAAGAGGTTATGGCAGCCACTCAGGCAGAAGGTCCCAAAAGAGTGTCAGACAGTGCCATCATCCACACAAGCATGGGAGATATTCATATCAAGCTTTTTCCTGTTGAGTATGTAGTTGCTGTTTTTTCTCTTGTTTTGGTTTTGTTGCTTTCTTCTGTCCCTTGTGGTTGAAGTATCCAAGATTTATCTCATGCTAGAAATAATTATTTTCTTGCCCTTTTTCTACTCTTTTTTGTTTCCCTTTTTCTACTCTGTCAGTTTCTTAATATGCTAAGGTAGGAATGTGACTCTTAATAAATAGAAATAAAATAGGGTAAAAATAGGTCTAAATAACTGTCTGGGGCACAGGAGTTTTTGGAATTATATTTGGGTTTATTTAGTTACTGATTCAGGGAGGGTGTTCCTTTCTTAACTTTTGTTCTTGAACAGGTAATGATACTCTTCTGTGTAAGCTCTGTATTGTAAGGCATTGCTGTTTGCATAGATCTTGAAAAAGAAAGATGATGTTGGCAGCAGCAGCAGATTTGGCAGCAGGTCTGTGCAGGCCAGAAGAATAGTAGTTGCAACTTCTGAATGTGGCCAGTGAACTACACTTTGTTATTGCAGCTCCTTTGAAAGCCATATAACATTTATACCAGCATATAATACTACTGTTGTGTATATCCAAAACCAGACATAGAATCGAAAAATTTTATGTGTGACAATTGCTAAAATCAGTGTGTCCTCATCTCTCCTTCATGATGCAAAAATTGCAAATATTCTGTTATTTAACAGGAAATTTATATAATATATTGCTGTACATAGAAACCTAAATTATGTCAATGTACTCCATGCTTCTCCAAAAACAAATTCATCTTTGGTCATAAGCACAGGTAGGGCAACCTCAATTCTACCCTCTAGTGCACCAGACTTCTACTGCAGTCTTCACCAATGTTTCCTTGCATCTGGCTCTAGTTTCTGGAACTCATAATAGGTTGTAGTAATGGTAGAGCTCTTGCCAGCGAGTGACAGGTCAAGCTACATTAATTCTTTTCTTTAATTGTCATGCTAATATTGTCATATCTGCATGCACAGTATTGCAAGGTGCTTCACTGCAATGTTCTGTATGCAATTTTAAATACAGCATTACTAGGGTTGGTTACTGTTTGGTTCGTCCTTTCTTATTATAGTATTTTCTCCCAGCTGAGCTTTAAATTAAAATCTCTTTAGTATGATTAAAACTTTAAAGAAGAGCATATAGGATATGGGTCTGTACATCTTTGAATTCTTTGGTCATTTTGTTGTGAAATAAAGTTGTGAATGACTCTCTACTGCTCAGCAAAAACTGACTATAATCTAGTCTGTTCCATTAGTTATGACATTGGTGCTCTTTTTGACAAGATAGCTTAGAGTGTCACTAAATCCCGAACTAATATTCCTTTTCACAGTTAGACTTGAGTAACTACAGCTGTGAACTCAACTTGGCCATTTTCTCCTAGTTGGGAGTGCAGATAGAAAACTAGGGAACCTATAGTCAGTGGTTCCTTGAACTATGCCTGCAGGAGACAGATTGGGTTTCTGGCTCTTATGGTTTAACCCCAGCCAGCAACTAAGCCCCCAGAACCACTCATATGCTCATATTCCCCTTGGTGGAATGGGAGAGCACTGGAATAGTAAGAGTGAAAACACTTGTGAACTGAGGTACAGGCAGTTTAATAGGGAAAGCAAAAGGCATGCACCCAAACAAAGCAAAATGGAACCTGGACAGGCAGATGTTCCACTATCTCCAAGAAAACAGGGCTCTCTCACCTGGAGTGGGTAGTTGGGAAAGCAAATCACTATTACTCTGCATGTCCCCTGCTTTTTCCCTCAGTTTTATGTGCTGAACATAATGCCATATGTGCAATGGAGCATCCCTGTGGTTAGCTGGGTTCAGCTGTCTCAGCTAGGTCCCCTCTGAACTCCCACAGCCCCAGCCTCCTCACTGGCAGGGTGGGATTAGGAGCAGAAAAGGCCACAGCAGTGCGTAAGCCCTGCTCAGCAACAGCTAAAACATCCCTGTGCTAGGTATCAACACAGCTGCTGCCTTTCTGTGTAATCACAGAATGTGATGTAATGTACTTCTCAAGCTTTTTGCTTTCAGCTCTTTTTAAGCTTAGGTTTGAGGAGATGGAAATTTGTTTTTTCCTTATTTGGCTAAATCCCTTCCTACAGAGTCCTGAAACATTGCACAGCACAAGGAGGTCTTAGTCCCAACTGAAATCGTTATGGCCCTGTCACCAGACAAATATTATTGTGTTTTCTGTTACGTGATTTTAGGTGCCCCAAAACAGTGGAAAACTTCTGTGTGCACAGCAGGAATGGTTACTACAATGGACACATAATTCACCGTATCATCAAGGTAACTTGCATTATGTTATTTTTTTGTTAATTTACATTATGTACTGTGGTGGTCAGTCCTCTGTTAACACTTCCATTTCCGTTTTGCGCACAGGATTGTTGGAGTACCTTTAGAGTTCCTTGTAAATTCTGAACAGCTCTGATGTTCTAAACAGCTTTAGCACGTACTAAAGTTATAGTAGCTGTTCTGCAATTGATAAGGTAGCAGAAAACTGAAAGATGAGTCCTGCTATCCTGCTTGAATTAAAACTTTGCTTCATGTCAGAACGCCTTTCTTGTAAGGCTGCTTATTTCTGTCCCACCAGAATCAAGTGATAGAGCCTAAGGATTTGCAAAAGGTAGAGGTAGTCATGTTTCTGTCCTTCATTGGCCGGCATAGTGAGTAACCTTGCTTTTTCTCAAGTATTTGATAGACACTTAAAAAGCCTCAAATGCTTTCTCCCTTAGACATAACATGTTAACATATTTTGTGTAAGTGTTTGAAGTAAGTTTGAAAAAACGTCACCTAGCATATAACACTTGCGGTTATGTATTCTATGCAGTAATGTGATAACATATAACTTCTGTGCAGGGTTTCATGATTCAGACGGGTGACCCAACTGGTACCGGAATGGGAGGTGAAAGTATTTGGGGAGGAGAATTTGAAGATGAGTTTCATTCAACTTTACGACATGACAGACCATATACACTCAGCATGGCTAACGCAGGACCAAATACCAATGGATCTCAGTTTTTTATAACAGTAGTGCCAACTGTAAGTAATACTAAAAGCTCAATTTAAAGCCTGAGAGGCTACCTAGATAGTAAAAAATTAACTTTTTTCTCATGGAAAAAGGAACATACTAGTACTTTACAAATAAAAGATGCACGTGATGTGTAGTGTATAGGCTTCACTGAAACTGTCCCTTAGAAGACAGAAATACTTTTCCATCACTTGTGATCAAGAAGCCTTTTGCCTTTAAATGGAGTGAGGTATAAAATTTCTAGGCATGTTTGCAATTATGTATTACTAGAGTATCTTATATTAATAATAGTGGTTTAAACTTGATGGAAACCTAGGTATTGCTTAGATTGCTTGGGGGTTTGGATATGATGCCAGGATGTCTGTCTAATATAGTCTAATTATAGCTATACAAGGAAGACAGTGTTCAGGTTTAAAAATTTCATTTAATCTGTGCACAAATTCAGAGCCAACAATAAAAATTTTGATATATGAATCTAAGATATAGAAACCAAGTCCTTAAAAGTAACACTTACAAAAACTGCATTCTTATGGCACTTCAAAGTAATACAAAAAAACCCTATCTACCATAGTTCTGAGGTTTATTAAGTTGTATGAAAGCCTATATTCAAATTGGGCATACTGTACGAGTATTGAATTGGGTAGTATTCTGTACTGACACTTAAAAGTTCTTCTGTGAAAATAGCATGAAACAGAGAGACTGAAACAACATTTCTGTGAACTGAGAATATGCTTTAAAATGAACTATACAATGTTACTGCACTGGTAGAACATGACCTCTGTAGTACTATAAGAAAGCAATTGAAAAGGTGAGTTCAAATGCATATGAATATGTGTTAGCTGCATTCTAGTATTTCCTTGCATGCTAATAGCAGGGCGTTAGGTTCCATAGTCTGGGCACACAAAATGTGTCCATGTACACTTTATTTTTGATTTGGTACTTAACCTACATGTTGCTTTCTATTTTAATGTTCTTTTCTTTTTTCTCCTGTGTTTTCAAACAGCCATGGCTCGACAACAAGCACAGTGTGTTTGGACGGGTGACTAAAGGAATGGAAGTTGTTCAGAGAATTTCAAATGTCAAAGTCAATCCAAAAACTGACAAACCCTATGAGGATATCAGCATCATTAATATAACAGTGAAGTGAGGCAGGCGTTGAAGGTTCCAGCTTAAGCAGAAAAAAATGGAGCACGTGAGACCCAGAAAGGGACGTAGGAAGAACAGACATTTTTGATACTTCCTAGATACAGCAAATACCAGGACTGAGCTGCAGTATTGCATTTTATTTAAATGGTATGCACTGTCTCACCCCTCCAAAAATGCATTGTATATTCTAAGCCTGTGGTCCTGCCCTGAACCATCCTGTACCTGTAATCCCATTGGCCCAAGTGTGATTCCACACCCACTTCAATCTCCCTCTTAAGCTGTCCTGGTGAGACCAGCCGACCTCTTATCCTTTCTCCGCTCTTGGCCTTCCCCCCCTCTTGCCCTTTCCCTCCCCTAGGCTCCCCCTCCTTCCCCCTCCCCCTTCTCCCTTTCTCCCTCATCCCGCTGTTCCCGGGGATGGGACCCTCAATAATCCCTCATCAATCAGCACCCTCAGAAGCCGTGTGGAGTCTCCTTGCCTGCCTGCTGCTGCCAGCCAACTCACAGCCTAGGGGGCCCTCCGGGGACACCCCGGGGTGACCCCCCCAAAACGAAACACAACACAGAGCAATCTACTATTCTTAATGTACCTAAAGTGCCCTAATTCTGCATTTCTGGTAACTTTGTATTTTAAAGGAAAAACATCTACATGTTTCTTAAAAGGGCTACTGTCTTTCTTGCATCTTTTCTATGCAAAATTGAAGATAAAAACCCCCACCACGTCCCATGACAGTGTTTGTAATGTTTTCATGTTTATTTGCATTCTTCATGTTTAATGAATCTGTTTCACAGTTCAAAATAAAAGGCCAGAAATACTAAGTTGAGTGAACCTCTCAATCCTTTGTACATGTATCAAAAAATTAGATTAAGTTATGGTACTGTTGGCTATGAAAAGCAAACAATGTAACCTACCTCTATTCTTTATAAATAGTTGTGTACATGTCTCTGTCCAAGAGCAATGATCAGCTCTTAAAATGCCAGTCTGTAAAGTCCTTTGCAATTTGTTTGGTTTTTCCAGTGTTTTTTTTTCTTTCATGTTTGCTCTTTATTTTAGCCTAGGGAATATTTTTTTCTGGCTTCATTTTTAGCAAATGTCCTACAAACATTACTGTTTCTACTGAAATACTTAATTTATTTTAAGCTATCTGAACTAAGCTTTGCATCAGCTGTTTCTGATGGAGTTTCAGAACAAAATCGAAGCATCGTTAAGGCTGAAAAAACCTGGTTAAGGTCAGTAAGTCAAACATAACAGCAACACCACCACCTTAACCATTACACCATGTATGACATCCATATGTTTTTTGAACACTTCCAGGGATGGTGACTCCACCACTTCAGTGGGAGCTCTATTCCAATACCTGACCCCATTTCAGGATGAAATTTTTCCAAATGTCCAGTGGTAATCTGAGGCCATTTCCTCTTGTCCTGTCATTAGTTACCTGGGAGAAGAGGCCAACACCCACCTAGCTATATTTTCCTTTCAGGCAGTTGTAGAGATTGATAAGGTCTCCCCTGAGCCTCCTTTTCTTCTCAGCTGCTCCTTACAGGACTTGTGATCCAGACCCAGCACCTCAATGTCCCTTCTGATTTGAGAGGCTTGGCATAGGATTTGAGATGTGGCCTCCCCAGTGCCCAGTACCGGGGACAATCCCTGCCCTGGCCCTGCTGCCCCTCCATTGCTGCTCCAGGCCAGGATGCCATTGGCCTTCTTGGCCACCTGGGCACTCCCTGGCTCATGTTCAGCTGCTGTCAGCAGCACCCCCAGGTCCTTTCCAGCCCCTCTGCCCCAGCCTGTGGCGCTGCCTGGGGTTGTTGTGACCCAAGGGCAGGACCCAGCACTGGGCCTTGCTGAACCTCACACCATTGGCCTCAGCCATGATCCAGCCTGTCCAGATCTCTCTGCAGAGCCTCCCTGCCCTCCAGCAGATCAGCACTCCCACCCAGCTTGGTGTAATACATGAACTTACCTGAAGGTAGACCTGATCAGCATGTGAAAAATGCCAATCACTTGTTTTTGAAATTTTAAAAGTTTAATAGTAGTAATATAATTAGAATAATAAAGTTTGAACAATTGAGATTAGGACAATATGAGACAATAAAAACAAAGAGATACGGACGTCCGGGTACCTTTTTCTGGGCATCACGAGCCCGAAAAAGGGCACCCGTTAAAAACAATTACCTGTTGCATATTCATACATCTCATACATGATGCATAAATTCCATTCAAACACAGGAGTCTGTCTGGTCATTGTCAACTTCTTCCTCTTAATCCTCGTGCCATCTTCCTGTCTGAGCGAGGTGGGAAGAAGTTAGTTTTCTGCTGATAAGGGAGCAATAAATTCCCTTTCTCTGGAAGACTTAGGTGTCCTGTGGCTTCTATCTGGTGTGAGTCCATTCTTAAACAAATATCTTACATAGCACAGTTTCTATTTTAACATTATGTTATAACCTAAAACTATATTTAATACACTACTTAAGAAAATTAATACAGCATAACTTTCTAACATAACACATACAATATTCATTTCAATACTTGTGAAAAGCCAATCATAAAATACACATTTGTCACAATTCCCCCTCTTATTCTTTGTAAATCATTTGGCTTGAGCAATATTCCTTGTTTACTTGCATCTTCTGGTCTATGCTGGCAAGATAAAACAAGGGATTACACAAGGAAGAAATATCAAACAGTTGTAACACATAGAAGGAAAAAAAACTTAATTTTTTTTATCATCCCATGTCTAATACATTACTCCACCAGCTAGGTTTTAACATTCTTTTTGTGATATCCTTTACTTCTCCTGGAATGACTTTTCTGTGGTCCTCAATTTTCATCAATCTGATAAATTTTCCACAAACACTCCCTCCTTTAGCCAATAGATATCTAAAGCCAACCCATTCTGATACACGGCAGCTCTTGTTTGAGTTTGTTGCCTTTATATTAATTCCATTACCTTACCAGTTGTTTTACCAGTTTTGTTCATTATTCTCTCTGCAGCAGCTTGGAGTGTTATAATTCAATTTAGCATATAAATTGGGGTCTGATATCCCCAACTCCCATCTTGTGCCCAGGTGGCTGGCCCATATGTTTCTAAGATATGTTCAGAGGCCATTCCTCATCTCCCCATTTTTGGAATCCTCCAATCAAATCCCTTTTGTTTCTCTTTAGATTCTCATAAACTGTTATCTCTAACTGATCCCCATCAGGTCCTGGCAAAAGAAAAAATCCTGGTTGTATGATTCCCAGAGTGCAGCTCTCTTTCTACTGAGAGGGAGGTTTTGGGTATGCTCTTTTTCCACATATCCACAATAGACCATCTGGAGTTTTCCAATAGTCAAACTTTTGCTGATCTATATTTTCCCGGAATTTGGAAATTTCTGGGATGACAAAGTAAGGATTTTTTTCTTGTATCATTACATTGAAAAAAGTCTGATTTTATTATCATACTTACACTTTCCCTTTTTAACTTTTTCCTGGGTCCAGTACATCATTGGTTCTTCTGGGATCCACCACACAGAAGTTCCATTACTAGCCTTATACTTTTACAGGGAGTTTTTCCTACTTGATGAAGGAACTCTTCTAGTGCGCCATAGACATTCTTCCCCTATGACTATTGAACTCAAAATCCACCCCTCTGGTAAGTTTTCTGGACTTACAGTTGTTTGGTTCCACTTAAGGAGCTCAGTTGGGCCTAAGCTGCTGCCTTTCCATGACAATTCTTCTGACATCAAAGCCCCTCCACAGACCCAACAATTGGTTATATTGAGTTCTCTACTTATTCTTTTGTATATGCAATTGCCTAATTTGGATGGGTTGTAATAGTGACTGTTGACATGAGTGTGAGAAATAAATAAAAATAAAGGAACTTTGGTGTCTTTCCATATATAGCTTGCAGTAACATCTATGGCATGGTCTTACTGATATCCCAAAAGGGAAAGGACAACAAATGAGTGGCAGAATCAGTGTTATAAATGAAAATTGCGAGTCAGCCAATTTTAATAAAAATATGAAAAATAAAATTTATTTCGCGACCGTAATAACAGTCCGATAGCCACCACCAACAACGGACAGCGTATCACCCCCGGTCGATGATACGGGTGAACGAGAGGAAAGCACCCCCTCACTGGTGCCTTGACCTCCCCATCCTCACCAACTGCTTCGAGGTAGCAGTTCTTATACAGTTTATTTCGCCCGCGGCAGAAAGTCTTTGTTTCTTTCGGAGTTCTTCATATTCATGTTGGTTTCTTTCTCTGGCTTGGGCTGCACAAAGCCTTCGTCTGGGAATAGAACGATGCACTTCCCTGGTTCGCCCCCCCTCAGATAGGCATCTCGTCTGGGCCATCAGCACCTGGCGTCTTTCTTTGGGCGTAGGTGCTGTTGAATGCTCATCCTTGGTGCAGCTGGAGTCCTCTTTGGATGCAAATACCGTGATATCCATCTGCTGTGGGTCATCTGGCCAAGAATTCCCAACCTGAAGGAAAAAGGGATTCTTCCCCCCCCTTCTACAGTTTATTTCATACACTTAATATTTTGTACAGCGTTTATTTCCACGAATTACTAATTACATTCCTAACAATCAGGAATAACAGAGGTCCAGTATGGCTTTTACTCCCAGCTCCTATGCCTATGGGGTTGCAACCCACAGCAGGTGTATTTGATCTTCTTGGTGGTGAATAGAGGCTAATCTGGTCTTGCCCTCTATTTCCTTGTCACTTTCTCTTAGCTAATTTCTAGGCAAATAAATAGTTTTTCGTGTTCCTTAACTGTGGTTTCCCACCATTCCTCAGGTATCTCCCATTCAACAGGCACTAATAATTCCTATCCACAAAACAAAGTTCTTACTTTAACACTTCTTGCAACAAGAGCATAAATTTTGTGAACTACAATACTAATTATTCCCACATTTGAAACATTTATTTATAACCAACTATCATGTCCAGTATCAGGATGAATTTAATAAAGTTTACAGTATGATACTGATGGAAATGGCAATTTCCCTTTTTCCCTATACAATTCACAGGCTAAGGTCACAATATAACAGCTCTTTGACCAAAACAGTCCTGATCCTTCTGTCTGAAGTATTCCTTCCCAGGGAGATATTTTATTTAGGCAATGCTTGAAACCAGTAATGTAAACTTTGCATTATTTCTTAATTAAGTGTTATTCTTTGTACATTTCTTGGACCATTTGGGTTTTCCCAAATCATTACCACTCAATCTCCATTTGAAAGTCAATTCGGTGTCACTCGGTTTAAATGTGATAGTCCATTCTTCAGGTTCCTTCACAAGTCTTTTGATTTTGCTGGCATGAATTCACCTTCTTTCAGTGGTTCGGATTGCTGTTCCGGTAGTACCTGGAAAGGACTTCTTAACAGCATAGTAATAAAAGAAAGACAATACTGCATTAACTTTTACCATTAGCTTTCTTCAAAAATTTCTGGGTGTAGCTAAAAGTTTTCTCCACAGCCGCCTCTTCTTCTTGTATCCAGCTGTACTAATAGTTGCAGAGGCAAATTCTTCTTTCTGTGAACTACAGTTAGTTAAATAAGAAAGGCCAGACCGACTTTAACCCCAGATGTAGCATATCTCTTTTTTTTCTTTTTTTTTTTTTTTTCACCGTTTAACTGTTTTAGCCTTACAGACACATTCTATTCCTCAGAACAAAAGCCTCCTCTTTTTAACAGCGAACAAAACCAAAAACCAAACAAAAACCAAAAAACTCAAAAAGACCACACCCTTACTTAAAAAAATTAAACCACTTTGTGAGGTTTGGAGAGTCAGCAATCTCTGCCCTGATTTTATCTCTTTCAGTGCTGGCC